TCTAGGTTAGAATATCTTAAGACAAGATCGGCTTTGTTTGAAAAAGGGAAGTTTTCGGAATAGGCGGAGTAGTGAGCAGTGATAAAATTCTGCGTAGACATCGGAAAAACACCAACAGAGACCCCTAAATACTGTAAACAGTCGGGAAAATATGGTATAGAAAGCAGTTCATAAGTATTTAGTTGAAAATAAAATTTTCAGACGGAAGGAACAGTTTACATGATGACATGCGTGAAGGAAAAACATCATTCCGAGATTGCGGTGCTGTAAAAAGTTAATTTCGTAACGTGACTTTGTCGTATTTCCTTAAATATTGTCAGAGGTAGGATGATTGCAAGTAATGAGACAGGCATTGTTAAATATTATTTTACGTATGAAACCTAAACATTTTGTGCACATTTGTATGATTGGATAAAGTGACATAAGAAATGTATTGAGTTAAACAGTGACTATGTTGAAAAAAGTTACATTTACTCGTATTAAGCTTTTGACGTCAGGTAACTTCAAGGATTTTCGTTTTAGTGCTCCGGGAATGAGTGTGTGTCTTTTTTGTATCTGATAAAAATATGACTATTTGTGCTTTGTTTTCGTTGAAAACTTGCATATTAATGAAATGAAACATGAATTTAGTAAAAAATAATAGTTTCATATATTTTATCAATTTTTGTCAGTAATTATCAATGTTGTCCACGAACCTTACGGACAACCCTCGTAAATTTGGGTGTAGCGGCTTCGGCACCGGTAAAGGATTCTTAGGCACACAGTCATATGTTTTGCAAAGATATATAGGCATTGAAAACTGGGGAGTCCACTTTCAATTTGCTACCGGCGGCATTTACAACGTGTAAGAAAAATGTTGGGCAAAGAGACCTTTTACTTGTCTTCTCCTTGTTCCCAATGTTGTTAAATAAGTAAGTATAAATTAAAACGTTTATTTTCGAAAGATATAACTAATTCAAAATAATTCTCTCAATTATCAAAATCTGAGTCCAGAGTTTTTTGTTTTTTAGATATTTAGATATTTTTTTTTCAAAGTGCGTTAAATGTCTCCATGGAAAAATGTTTATGTACACTCGTAACGCACTTTGAAAAACCGAGTTTATAAATAAAAAAAATATTGAAAGACGCAACTTATGAACTTTTCTTTCAGTGACCTTGAACTTTCACGAATGACATGGGGTCTAGGTCATGCCATGCCCTAAGGTCTTAAGAAGCCTTTGTGTGAAGGTGTAAAATCAAGTTTTTGCACAAGAGAGATATGGACCTAGCACTGATTGTGAACTTTTTCTTACGTTCTTCAACTTGCCCACGTGACCATGCCCCCCCCCCCCCCCCAAAAAAAAAAAAACTTTGTTTGCCGGTGTAAAATAATTAATTGAATTTGTTATTATTGTACATGTGTACATAATCTTGATGATGTATTCTATACATCGCAAGAGAGAATGCATGATCATATATCTTGAGGAATGTGCATTCTTCGAACATTTTAAATAAAAATAGAAACTTTAAGATTACAGGTCGAGGCCAATTGTACGAAAATCAAAATAAAACTTTAATTAAACAAAGGTTTTACATCTTCAATGTTTATATACCTGTGTATTTTATATGTTATGGGACTGTGCAGAAAACACAGCAACACAGATCATGATGTAGGAATTGAATCAAATTATACTGGGAAAAATAATTTAGGGATCATATTTTTACACAAGAATATTACTTTCATATCCATGAATTTATGTGACAACAAGGCTTAAGTAGTTTTAGAATATGTCATTAACACGAATCGATACTAAAGTCACACGTGTTTAATGAGTTTTGGGACATATTCGTATTAATCCAAAACTTTGGACATAGAAGGTACGTGGCGTTCAAAAGTAAGTGGAACAATTGAAGCATTAATGTATTAAAGAGGGTTTTCTTTAGTGAACATAAAAAAAATTCCGACCAGAACTGGTAATAAGACGCTATGAGGAGTGTTGAGATGGGTTATACACTTTAAAAACTTGAGATTGGTTATACAGTTTAAAAACTTGAATAAATGAAGCAAACAAACCAAATGAAATTTTAACAAAACTTGATAAAAAAAGACAAAACAAAATTTTGACAACAATAACAAATAACAAAAATATAGAAATGATTTGTCTATCAGCAGCACGTCCCGGAGAGAGTCCTTTAAAACGAAGTAAATGGATTCCAACACCCTTGCTGAAGATTTGAGTTCAAGTTTTGAATTTCCTCTTGTAAATGTATCTTATTTTTCACCAATAATTTCACAAATATCACACACATATAACTAAGTGCTTTCAACCTTTCACAATACTATCTGGATTATTTAGCTTAAATGGATAAATTTCAAAAAGGTGAATTCGTTATTCAAGATAAACACATAACTTTTAATTGCTGGTCCCGAGGTGTCCGTAGGGACCGCCGTACTCTGTTGTACACAGTGGATCTCTCACATTTGCCACCGTAAATGCAAAACCATTACATATTGCAAGCCTTTCCCTCTCACCTTGGACTGCCGACTGGCTATTGTAAAAGTAATAAGCTGCAGTACCCCGTCCAAGATCTGATAATTACGAAACGGGACGAAAGCCAGAGGAAACAGGACCTTAGGGAAAATATGATAAAACAATCATACTAAACGCATAGGCTAAAACAAAAAACATTTTACAAATTGCATTTTCAAATACCTATAATTTGAGTACCCATCCCGGCTACTTCATTATAACAAGCCAAACAGGTCTTATCTCGGCTGTGACTTCCCGGGTACTACCCGAGCACGAGCTCTCAGGTAGGTAAAATTACAAATCGAGGGGTTTCCCATAAGATAAAGAACGATATTTACATTCACGCCAATGGAGTATCTTAAGGGATTAAATTTAGTTTGTTACAAGGAGGCATGTATAGTATAGACGAATACTCAATGTAGCAGTGATGCTGGAAGCTAACAAAACTCGAGGAGAGACTTTATTTTTCCCAAAGCGGAATTAAACTATCAAAAAGGAAAAAAGTGGGACGTCCAAGTGTACGGCAGTCGTTATTTGGCCAATTTTGCTAAGACATACCGCTTCCAAAGTGCTCTTAAGCTTAATACTGGGCATCAGAGACAACGGACATACGGATTTCTACACAACCGTTTGAAACAGACTTCAGGAAGTAAATTTCAAGGCTTGCCAACCAGCTTTACGTTCTGTATTAAAATTAGAGTGCCGCAGAAATCGACTACAGTGGACAACAGAACACAAAAGTTTGGCAATAACGTCAGTAATATTGGTGTTCTGTCCTTTTCTCAGACGAGTCGCGATTTTGTTTTGACTTCCATGTTGACAGAAGACTTGTCTGGAATGCAAATGGGGAAATAAATGCTGATTGTGTCATTTCTGAGCAATACAGAGTAAATAGGGGTTTGATGATGATTTGGGCAGACATAAGTATTGACTGCAGAACTGAATTGCACGATATTGAAGGCAACCTGAAAGGTTTAGAATACCGAAATGATATTCTTAATCCTGTTGTTAGATATATTGTATGTACTCTGGGGGAGGATTTCATCTTAATGGACGATAATGCTCGACCTCAGAGTCCGAATCGTAAACAAGTACATGGAAAGTGAAACAACTTAGCGCACGGACCCGCCAAGTCGTTTTCTAGACCTGATATATTAGGAATTATATATTAAGAGTAAGGTGCGCTGATTTTTACTTATTATACTTTTGTATAATGAATACAGGCAGAGCATTGAAATCCAGTTTAGCCTCTCCTCTATCATTCTATCAACAAAGAAGCAAAAATTCAATACTAGACGAATACTTTGGAAGGTAATTTTTTGCTGTTGTAAAAGCTTGTGTTTTATGGTATTTGGAAAGTGCTGCTAGAATTGTATGGCTAACAGAATCGATGACAATTCATTAATAATATGTACAACCTGTGATAAATTTGGTAAGGTTTCATGCAAAAGAAAAAATTCTGTTTCAAAAAATTAACATTCTAGCAGCATTTGGATTGGCCCTAACGCTGTAATTACATACATAATTTTGCAATTAATAAAATACATTTTCTAAGGACTTTTCATTTTTTCGTAAAGACAATTTTCTATTTATAGACATTAGGTGATGACGTTTTATTGAAGTGCTGAATTAAGCCTAAGACTCTATGACGTCTACATAATGGATAATGAACGATTTAATGTTTTATCTAGTGGTTTGCGTGGGGCAGTAGTTAGAGTGCCTGCTCTAGAGTCGTAAAGTAAGCAGTCAATCCTTAGGTCGCGGGTTCGAATCTCACTGTGAGACGTGGAGACCGGACCTTCGGATGAGACAGTATAAACCGAGGTACTGTTTCGCAGTAGGTGCTGGCACAAAAAGATCCCTCCCTACTCATTGGCCCTGAGAGCCGAGAATAAGACAAAATTTGCAGCTCTCCAGCGGCAAATGGTGTTGTCTCCACATGAATAAAAAATTCTCGAGAGGGACGTTTAACACTATACAATCAATCATTCAATCTATTGGTTTTCCGATTAATCAACGTTACATTTTACAAAAAGGTCTATTCGCCAAAAATGATCTAGGTACTGCCTTAAGTTACCCTCATATTTGCTGAAAAGAGTCTTTAGCTTACCAAAACAATTTATATTGGAGATCAGGACAAACCCTTAGTTCGTACAATCCCAGTGTCAAGCATGAACTTCAAATTTACAAAGTTACGAATCACAAAGTCATGACGTTAAGAAGATTGCGCAAATAAAATGATACCCTAATACCTCAACATTATGTTTGCATAATGAAAATAAGAAAAAATAAGTATGATTAATCAAAATACAAACAAAAGAAAGAACAAGACAGGTTTTATTATACGTACCGTTTTTGGACTTGGTTTTGGATGATTCTGTGAACTATCCAATAGTTCATTTTTACAAACGTGCAATCATTATTGTACAAAATAAATTTTGATTATTATTTAAGGAACATAAAAAGATCACAGGAAGATAAAAAAAAAATATGTCCATTTTTTATTTTTTATGCAAATTTTTCATTACATCAAAAGCTCATTTTGTTTTAGAAAACACAGGTCAAAAATTTGTCTATCTAGCAAATTTATTTATTTTATGCACTAGTAGAAGCAAATTAAATTCGGCTGTCATACTTTGCCCTTCAATAATTCTTAAGATTCCTGATTTTACAAAGAAAACATATTGTTTGTCTCATTTTCGTCTCATTTTTGTATGGTCACTTCTCAGATTTAGGTCGAGGTAAGAAGTTTTTAGGATTTGCTGCAAGGTCCTCTACTGTGTAAGTAGGCCTCTGTACACAATCAACCCCATCCATGCTTGAGAGAACTTTCATAGGACCCTTTGGATCATTGTAATAAATTCCAACGCTGTCACGAATTCCCAAACTTGGATCTTCAGGAAAATAATTCAAAGCAGAAGGAATAAGCTGACGTCACCGCCGACAGTTTGCATAATGGGTGTTTCTGACGTATGGGGTATGTGATGGATACCTAAGGTGACCCATGCAACAAGGTCCTGAAAGTAAAAAAAATCAAGTACACTATGCTTTCAAACAATAGAGTTTGCAAAGGTAGTTTACATGAATTTCATATCCCTTGTTATTACATGTAATCATTGAAATGATTACTATGTTAAAACCACTTGCATTGCTCAGAGGTTAGAGCGTGCGCTCTAAGACTTCCTGAGTACGGAATTGAGAAAGTCTAAAATTTCAGCCCTCTACCGTAAAAAGTTTGCAACTTAAAATAAGTGGAAAATTCTAGGGATGTTAAGCAGAAGAAATTAAATTCGACATTCAGATACAATAAAACATAACCCACCTATTTCGTGCATTGAAAATTACTTGAAAATAAGCCTGTTTTGAAAATAAGCCGGTCATAAATTTTGCATAAATTCAGGATGTGCGTTTAGTTGTCTCTATTGGTAAAACCTAATAATTTTTAAAACGGGCGCACAGAATTACGATACTTAATCACTATTCATTTAGCTCAAGATTACGGAAGTTCATCTGGATATTCTATTTTGGAAAAGAGTTAGTAGTTCTCAAACTATCGATTACCATTTATTTTCTTCAAGTTGATAAAAAGTCGTGAGTATATTCTTGTCGCTTACCAGTTTTTTGCATTGATAATAATACGCGATTTGAAAATAAGATGATTTTGAAAATAAATTCCCCACTTTCTTACTAAAACTTGAAATGCGCCGCAGGTTATTTTCAAGGTTTTAGGGTATATCAACATTGTCTTTAATTCTACATTTAGATATATCGACGGCGTTTTCTCAACAAAAAAGACATATTTATTAATATACTAATGAAATCGAAATGAAACACAACAAAAAAATCTTGTCACATTTGTTTCATAATTGGATATTTAACTGATAATAGATATTAATGAACGTAATGAACAACAGCCGGATTCCCCTTAAATCTTAATGATGTCATTTTATGACACCCAATTCATAAAAAAGTGCCTACAAAGAGTGAACATTTCGGTAATTGTTTGTTTATCGTGTCTTGGAAATTAATAAATAAATCTGCCTTACAAAAAGAGACGTATGTGAAAGTCGATATACATAAATAAAAAATTCAAATCAACAATTTTTAAGAACGTTAACGAAAATCTCCCATTGGACTCACATGGGCTGACTATACCCTATATCAGCTGAGGTGTTCCGAATGACAATGATTCATTTATTTATGCCGCACAAACTCGATCTAAAATTACATTATAAACAATTAAAAATGCCATAATTCCGTCACAAATCAATGAACCCATTAATGCACTCATTGATACATATCCATTAGATACATTTAACATAAAAAATCAGGTTTCATCGGTAGGGGACTAATAAGATAGAAATGGGAACGTGTACCGTGACAAGGTGAATTTCAATCGAGAAACTGTATTCACCTCTTTTTAAATTCGCCCAAATGAGTTTGAGGCGTACGGGGTGATAAAGACGCTTATTACTTTTCAAATAAATTGTTCGGAATTTTATGAATTTGAATGGGTCGGGTTGTCCACAGTTTTTCTAAAAAACGGGTGGAGATAGAAACTTGAAACTTTCAGGTATGATAAACCTATGTCTCTAGTTGTGGCTTTTGCAAATAGAATGAATATTGACCGATATTTACATGTTTTGACTTCTGATAACGCTGTCCACACGATGACTAAGGGCACGATTTGCAGTGTTTACATGAAAAATAATTACTTCTTGCTCTTCATGTTTTTTTAAAAATGAACTTTGCAAAGTAAGTAAATTCGCTGGTTCGAATCCCATTGTGGGACGTGGAGACTAATTCCTCGGATGAGCCCGTACAATTTTAAGTCCTTTTTACCAGTAGGAGCTGGTACAAAAGATATCCCTCACTGCTCAATGACCCTAACTGCCGAGAAAAGAACATAATTTGAAGCTCATATGACGTATCCATATGAGTGAAAAAAATCTCTCGAGGGACGTTAAACATTAAACAATCAATCAATAAAAATTGGGAATTACAAATTATAGCAGTTGAGATAGAATATCCTCTATCTCGCTCTCCCCCCTCTCTTTCTGAACAAATCTCTTTCGGGGAAGTCTCTAGAGCATATTTAAGGAAAAAAATAAGCCTAGTTTATATGTACGAGTTACAGGGAATGCAAGTTGAAGTTTACCTCTTGTAGAAATGGTTCATCTCCTATTAAGTTTTCAAAATTTACAACTCGGTCCTCTCCATCAAAGGTAGAGTATTTAGAGCTACTATATTGTTCAGATTCTTTTCTCTTTGTGACTGCCAATTGATACCTCATCAATGATGCTCCCGGTTTATTTCCTACTTCTTCTCGGAACAGATTCTTGGACATTCCTCTTAATAAAAGCCGATACGCTTTAGGATTTCCAAATTTATCTTTGTTTTCTTCATTGTAAAAAACATGATATCGGGGTTGGCTAAAATTATATTTGAAAGCGGCCTCTCTCTCCGTGGCATAATTTACTTTTACAATTTTAGTTTGGAACCATTTTTTGGGATATCTCCCTTTTAAGAATTGATTTGGCACTTTTTCTTTTCGTATATCGTAAGTAGAATAGCTATTTTTAGTGCCTCCAATGTCAAGATCAACCTTAAAATTAAACATGTGATGATGAAGAATGCCAGTAGCTTGTGTGTTTATCTGGAAGCCATATTTACAGCTGTCTTGGACGTAAGACGGCGAAACAATCCCTGATGTCGTTACTTTACTTTCCATGGCGCCATTGTTGTAGAACATAAAGTCATAGATATAGTCATAGTTTCCAAGAGTAGATATCATTCGGAGAACAAGTACATTTTTAGGTGCACCTTCGTAATAGCCAGATGGGTAGTCGTCTGCAACATAATGTCGTCTGAGTGGGATACCAGTATTGTGTTCGAATACGCAAATAGAGTTCCTTTTTATGACTGGTATATCTGAAGTTTCCGACATAAACCTTGAATCGGCAAAAGTTGCGTGAGATGGGCAATCAACACCTGGAACTAATGTCTGAATTCTGTTTCCAATCAAACCAATGCTGTCAAAATAGTTAGCAAATCTACCAAATGGTTCCGATGAAGAATAGAAAACTGTCATTTCTGAAAGACCTAACTGGTAAACTATCATTTCGTTTTTGAACTTTATTTGGAAAAGCTGAGGACCATGAGTAGGTGATACCCCAAACTGAAAGTCCCAGTTTATGTAGTGAACTGACTGGCCCTTGATTGAGTAACGTTTCCCGTCCGGTTCTACTTGTGTTGGAGGTCTTTGTGGATGTGCAGAAACACTTCAGGTGGATGTGGATCTGAGGGGAAACTCACGTGAAGTTTTTTCACCATTCCTTTTAGCCAAAACTTTCTAAATGATTGAAGCAAATCAAACAGTTGGCCATTGTACCACACATCTGCAGTCTGTGGTGTAGCAGTCCCGTTTATGGTGACAAGAACAATAAAATCAACAGGATTTAGGGTACTTGGACGTCGTCTTTGAAAAAAAGGAAACCAGTAACCTCGAAAGCCTTTATCACGAATTCCGGAAATTATTGCGGCATAAGGAATAATCATTTGAAACCCAAGACACCTGTTACTACAGTTTACTAGAGAACCCTCAAAACTTTCAAACAAAATATCACCAGCCAGCCTATTTGTCTCCTCAATGAGAACTTTGATTGCTGCTGATATTTCTGGATATGTGGCAGGTCTGAAGTAAAATGGGATATACTTAGGGTTTCCACAAAATCCTAAACGTGGAGCTAGCTGTACACAGTATTCTGCTACAACAGGACTCACTTTGCCACCATTAAAAACAGTGACCAACGCTTTCCGTATCATTTGTCGCTGAGGATTACCTTCGATGTCTTTCTTTTTAGGAAGAATTAATTCCATGGTGTAAATGTAGTTTGAAGACAAAGTTGCCTCACTTTGCATTGTCAAATTTAGACTTTGTTGTGAAAACATGAAACTGAAAATTGCTTTAATTTCCTCACTTGTCAGATCATGAGATGGCGGTGGGTTTCCAGGTTCAGTGAGATCAATGGAATTTCCAGATAGCGATCCATGACATTGAAGGCAACCATTTGGTATATTTATTTCATTTGTAGGGGCTGAAGAAAAAAAGAATAGGAAAGTTAGACGCCAGTAAATTTAAAAGCATTGCTCGCATAGAATCAAACTTTAAATAAATATTCATATATATATAATGATCGAGGTAGGTCAGTCTTGACACTCAAGCAGTCATGGTAGTTTTCATACAAAAGTTTGTTTAAAACTGAATGGAACTTAATTGTTTATTCGTTTAATTAAGGATAGCTGTCTTATATTTGGATTTTGTGATGTGATAAATCGATTGGCTTTCATATAATTTGCATAACTGCCGAATGCATACAATTATCACGCAAGCTAATCGATTGATTATTGTCATGAAATAAAAAAATCTGACAGTTATTTCTTATATTTTAATGCTCTGAATTCTACCAATCTACTTGCTGCTAGCCCTGCTTATGCTTAAATATCTGTCTCGACCTGTACGTGATTTTTTTAACCAACCAATGATATAACCATTACATATAACATATAACATATTTGTAATTTTATTCCTAATAAGAATATTATAATTTCAATTATAAAATCTTTGAGGGATAAGAAATGAAACAATATAGGCCTATCCTAATCCGCCCCATGTAGTCTATACTTACATTTTTGATAATGTGAAGCAGTCTCATGAGGACCTGAAATGTAAAAATAAAATATCGGTATTATTGCTCAAAATATTCAGACAAAATGCATGTACCCTATAACGGGTATTTTTACGTGCTGCTACTTATTACTAATTTCTACGATTTTTTTTTTATAAATCCGTAAACTTTACATGTAAAGTTTCACAGAAGTAAAAAAATGCCTCGCCTAAATTTTGAACATAGTACATGTTTTATATGCTATCACTGTCATTAGGCTTAGTACTTGGGGGCTATAAAATTACTTCTGACAACCGTTGTATTTAAGGAACTCTTTAAGTGAATATCAATTAGGATCAAACAAGATAATTTTAATTAATGCACACATTATACAAACATCGTCAATTACAAATTTTATCTGTTTTTCTTTGACCCATTCTTCTTTTTCACTTTTATTTGCTTACAGTAATAACTTTGGCATTTTAATACACTTAAATCCTTGTTCGCTGCAATTCTTTCAACTTAATCATGATGGTTTGTGTTATCTCTCTTTGTTTCCATTAAATGAAGACGGACACGTTGTGCGCAATAATAATGATGCGTAGACATGTTTATTGATTTAAAAGAATAAATTCAGGACATGTGATATATAAAGGTATGATGAAGTGTTATTTTATATTTTACATTTTACATTTTTATGCCAAAATGTCTTTTTCGATCAAACCGCTCAGGTATATTAATAGGTGACCTTTAATGATTAAAAAAAAGAATCGTATCACTTGGAGATATAGTTCAACCTTATAAAGAAAATGGTGTCAGGTCATTTCTCTCTAAAGAAAATGGTGTCAGGTCATTTCTCTCTAAAAATTTTTCTCTCCCAGGTTATTTCTCTCTCCTACCATTTCACGGTAGGTCATTTCACGGTAGGTCATTTCTCTCTCCTTCCTGGGTCATTTCACCCCATTTTTAATCTGGTCATATTATTAATTATTTACATTTTCATTCTTGTGTTATTAACTTTTGTCTCGTAAAATAAACTAAATTTTATCAATTTATGACCAATAAAATTCGAACGAGAGAATGTATCGGAATTTTATTTACGGTGGAAAATTTAATATTTGATATTAATGAAAATAAATTGATACCATTGTCCAGCCCTTGCTACTTGGAGCCCTCTTCTGTTAAGGGTAATAATTTTGAAACAAATTTTTTAACTCAATTAAAATAAATTTATTTGTTAAAAGAATTAATTTTTTACAAAAGCCGATGATGAAGTAAATAACAGTTTTAATAATATACAGGTTGACCTTACATGTATATATGACCTTTTTTATTATGTTTTTGAGTTTCTTACCAGTTGGCTGATGCTTGACACCTTTCACACTCGCAACAAGGAATGAAATCACAAGTGACCGTAATATCTAAAAAAAAGTCAAGATTTTTTGTAATTTATCTAGTTAAATATTCAAGTAAAGTTACAAAAATATACATCGAGAACATGAGTTTTAAAATTTAAAACATGTCAGTCAGTATCTGTCTCAATAATAAATTGTATTTGCTGACATGGTCAACATGATAAATAAGAAGAAAAAAAAATAAACTTGCATTATCTGGATACTTTGTTACATGTACATGTACCAAATCGTTTCTTATATGGTGAAACGGCAAATGATCTCTAGTTTATAATAAGTATTTTACGTAGATTTCGATTTTAACACTATTTAATACTTTTATTGTTCTTTCTAGTAAGTCACTACCGATAAGATTTTCCAGCTTATAAAGCATGTCATCTTTTCGTTTTATATCCTATTGTTTACATGTATACAATATGACATACGTAAAAGATTGGTTATCACACGCAAACGTCCACTCATACAATACGACTATTGAGAAGATCATATATGGACGTCTGAATACATCCTTTAGAACCAGGACCTGTTGAAGGATAAGCATCACCGGTCAAAGTCTCCCCTGCTCTTGTTATGGTCGGGCACATGACAAAGACCGTAGACAAATTCAGAATCAAATAATTGTCCAGTAATTTATTGGGGAAAAAGTCAACCAACATTCGACATCCTGATAGATTATATTTGCCTCAGCGTCAGCCGTAAATGACCCTAAGCAAACCCGAAGCAGAACCAGAGAGCAAACAAGGGAACGCGATCCGGGTTCAATTCTGTTAGGATGTGTCCGATCGGTACTGTATAATATTTGATATTGAAAATGGATATATACCTGAAAAAAGGAATAATTTATAATCATAACTTCCTTTAAAAATAAAATAACAAAAAATTTAACTTACCGTCAAAAGTCTCATTCTGCTATCTGTTTGTTAACAACAATGCAAAACACATTATTTAATTTCGGTTTTATACGTCTTCTGTGTACTTAAAAAAAGGTTTAATAGGACAAAAACTGAATTACAAACTAAAAAAAAACTTCGGTCTCCCGCAATATGAGGACTTAATGTAATTACGTTAAGGTGTGAAGGGAGCGTTTACTTAATCATTTACGACAGAAATTTAATTTTTTTTTTTTGAATTTTGAAATAATTAATAAGATAAAGTCACGAAGAGGATTGATTACTCTTCTACCGTAATATACAATGTAAAAGATAAAAATAAATTTCGATTAATGTTTTTATTTTGTGTAGAATTTCAGAAAATGTTTATTCAACAATCAAGCTTTTAACTAATCAATCAGCAAAAGAAAAAAAAAACATATTTACATTCCAATTACATATCCGATAAAAACGTTTTCACAAATTATATACCTGTATTAATCATTTGAATAAAAAATATTTATTTCCGCAAAATTACGTTTAATCATTATGTCATAAAAAAACTTCGCAAAACAAAACTAAATACCGGTTTTGGCGCTTGTTGACGTTAAGGGGGCCGACTATAGTTTTATTGTGTGAAAACTACAATAGCGAAACTCTTTATTTTTATACCATATATAACTTACATTAACTTCAGTGTACATGCAAAGTTTGGGAAAAATCTACCGTCCAGGTATTTTTGAGGGACCGTCTCAAAATACAGGTACATTTATTATAAGATTACATAGGAAAATGCTAATTTTTAGCTCTTTAAAGCAAATTATGCAAATACTACAATAGACATTTTGTTCAAACTATAATATTTTATGAGTAATACTATATGATACAATATATGTAAAAAACACAAAATTCTACCGTCTTGTTAAGAGAGGGGGCATCTCAAGATGCAAAAAAAAAGCAAATTTTACTATTTTTATAGAGTACTACAAAATATGACGTAAACAATGGATTCACAAGAAAACATAATAAAAATATTGGAGATATTCTAAAATTTCTATGCATTAAATTTCAAAAGCGCATGTTTATTACTTTTTCTGTAATAATATTTTTATTACCCCTTTCTTTAAGAGTTTCAGATTATTATAACGCCAAAAAGACACTGCAGCGACGTCAACCTACCTATCAAATGCAAAATCGGTTAAATAATCAGTTATATCAAATTGAAATTACATTTTTATACCTATAATTGCTTAATTTAGTTTAATTTTAATAATCAAGCGAAAAAAGTTGCATTAAAACAATAAATACGCTTCATTTTACTATGATGCGCGAAATATTGCGCAAGGAAACTATAGTCAGCCCCCTTAAATATTCTATACGTAACATTTGATTGATTGATTGTATATTGTTTAACGTCCCCCTCGAGAATTGTTCACTCATATGAAGACGTCACCGTATGCCGGTGAAGGGCTTCAAATTAAGACCTATACTCTGCACTCAGGACATTGAGCAGTGAGGGTTCTTTATCGTGTCAGTGCCTACCGTGACACGGGAGCTACGTTTTTTAGGTCACATCCGAAAGACCCGTGACTTTGACTTCTGATGCCGAGCGCTTGGCGAATGGACAGTCACTACCTATTTTTATCTCTTAGGTTTGACGCGGCGCCACAAACGTGAATCGAACCCGAGCCTCCCAATTCTTTGAACACCTAGATCAAAAAACTCTTTGACAAGCAGCTTTATTATTTCGAAAAATAAAATTCAAGCAACAACAAATAGAATAAATTACCTTTTATCAAAACATGCTCGCACCCTTCGAATTTTAGAAAATGCAAAGAACTAGGTACACCTTTGCCTTTTTTTTGGCCAGGTGAATTTCTGGAAAAAATGAAATTGCTTAGCTTTAGTTAACAATGCATTTAATATCACTAAGATCTCTCGTGATTGTGTATCTTCAAATTGGCAGTTCAGAAAAATTGTATAACGTTTTACAAATTAAGTATATGTATATTCTTTTTTTTATACGTTGATTTGACTTAGGAGAATAATAAATTCTTTCCTGATAAAACAAGTCGTGTTTCATCTCAAATTTAATCTTTTTTCAGAAAAGTATATATCATGCAAATTCAAAAAGTTTTTGTCCTTAGTAACGAATTTAATTATAATCATGTGTCATTATTCAATTAAAGAAAACCTGGATATATGATAAGAAATTCTCAAGGCAAAATGTCCTTTAACGCAGCTGTCTGATCAATTGATTTGCATTCATACACATCATGGATTTGATTTCAGTATGTAAATTATGACCTTGAATGCAGACATCATTCACAATGCTGATCTACCATTGATGTTTCAGACGGTCCGTGATAACTGTTTTGAATTATAGTGCATCAAAAGAGATTTGCTCATATCTACTGTTTGTTCTCGTATTCTTTTACCTAACCAAATACATGTACAGAGAAAAATTGGTCATTGGTATGGTTTTGTGACATTTTTCATTTTTTTCAAAACTAATTAGTTTTTTTCTTAAAGATTTTTTATTTTTAAGATGTTAAAAGGTTACTTGCACTTTTTGTTTATATTTTTATTTTAAGATGTAAAAAGGTTAGATGTACATTTTTTAAACATCTAGTAATTATTCGTTTAAAATTATGTATTGAAATTGATTAACTTAACCTGCAGTCATATTAACCTGCGATTTTGTCGAAGGAAACATGATACTTACATGTACTTTTGTCAAAAACTTAAACTTAAACTTTATAACTTTGACCAGATTGTTCATTTCTCTTCAAAGGCCCACAATAATGGGATATACATTATTTAAAAGTTGTTCAGTTTAATAAGGATTGTTGCAGAAAGCTACAACTAAGCTACAACTTAGAACAAAATAAAAAGTATACAACCTCGTTATATTTGACAAAATTTAATGTATTATTTGAATCATTTACATACCAAACAAATCCAAAATTATATACAACGGTACATGTCAATCTAGGCATCTATTTTTTCGTGTCATATGTCGTTAAAAAATATTTTGATTTTCAAATTTTTAACAAACACAATGTTTATATCGATAATTTTGCATCGCTATTTTTAGCTTCGTGTTCTGTCTTTTTTACTTTTATGGAAGCCTGTTTAGGACCTATCAAAAAATATATTTGAATTCGATATAATAAATTGTCGAAATTGATCAAACGAATTAAATTCATTATAACAGTTTTTCCAATTCGCTATGAAGAATTTAATTTGTTATAACATATTTGATTCGTTATAACGAATTCAGAAATTTGTGAAAACAGATTAAGATAGTTTAAAAACAAATTCTAAAATTTGTGATAACAAATGTAATTCGTTTAAACCGATTCTAAAATTTGTAATAATAAATTAAAGTCCTTTAATTAAATTCGACTATTGGGGCCTATGGAAAGGTATTTGTGAATTTGTTATAAAAAATTCAAGAAATTTGATATAACAAATTTAATTTGTTATAATGAATTCAAAAATTGTCATAACAAATTTAATTTGTTTTAACAAATTTTAGAATCCATTTGAACGAAATTATAATAATACATCAAAACATTTTTCTTAATTTGTTATAACGAAACAACAAATTTGTTATAACAGATCAAATTCATTATAACGAATTCAAAGAAATTGTTATAACGAATTAAATTCGTTATAAGAAATTCGACAATTCGTTATATCGGATTCAAAAATATTTTTCGATATAGGTCCTAAATAGACTTCCGCAAACTGTTAATTTTCAATTTTCAAACAATTTCTTGACACCAAAAAATACTTATGTTGTATAATAAGAATACATATCACAAACAAAATTCTGAAATCAAATGTTCTAAATTTGATGAAAGATCCAGTAAATAAAGTTTAATTGTGTAATAATTCCTTTGGATTTTTTTTTCGTGAAAATTATACACAAAAGTGTAAGATTACCTGTAATAGTTTTCTTTGAAATAAAGGCATATTTTCTATTCAGTTAAATCTTTTAAAAGAAGGGAGAAAGGAACATGATAAACAAACCGTCACAAGATCCATTTTGCAGTCTATTACATGCAATGTCAAAAGCATTATATATTTTCGGTTTTAATTCTTCCATTTCACTTATATAGGGTAATTAGGACAAAAACTTAAATGAATAGCTTAAATATTAACTTTGTTTCTCGTAATGACAGCTTGAATTAATCACTCTGAAGTCTGTAAAGTTGAGTTCTTAGGATCAGGAAGATTTAACATTGACATAAATTAATAAATTACGGATTTAAAATGCTGTTACAATAAGCCAGGGGAAAAGGTAAGTCAAGGCAAAAAATGTGTCTTTGTTTTTATACAATATTTAAATACTGACTGTTTATTCTTTAACATTTAGAGATGCTCAGGTTAGCTTTGAAATGCTACAAAAATCTGAGTTGTGCAATCATAGCCAATAAGCATGGGTATTCTTTTGTCGCCGGGTCTTTAATTTGATTTCTGTTCTATAAAATTCGTAACAACATATCATTGCATCGTTACATTCAATCGTGCCATGACCGATTTTCCTTAAACAGATTTGAAACATATAATAGAAATACGATGGGAGACCAAGGCGTACAGATTGCCTATAGAATCAAATATTTAAGAAATAAACAACAATGTTTAAAAGTTTTCTGGGACATTAACGGTTAGTTGGTCACGTGATCAAATCCTTTGAAGCCCGAAGGCTTCTCAGTATATTTGATCACGTACCAACTAAAAGTTCATTTCCCAGTGAACTTTTTAACATTGTTGTTTATTACTTATATTTACATTTGAATTGAATACATTTCGAGTTAAATTGTATTTATTACACAAACGGGCAAAAGTATTGCCATGTAGTGACGCGCAATGACATAAAAGTTGTTTGGTCAAAATATCACATAGCTCTGTGATCCGGACGCGCTATGACCTCTGACTCCTAAATGAAATTCACACAAAATCGAACGTATTTTCTCTTCAATAGGTTCATCTAAGAAAGATATTTGCAAATGTAAATATTGAGGAATTGTATTCT